GCATAGTAACAGCTAGTTCGTGTACTAAAAAAAGTACTGCTTCCAGTAGGGTGAATGCTTCAAACAATTGTATTTTCCTATATTATTAGTCTCATTCATTTCACTTTTCTTATACTCAAAATTATGCTTTAAAATGTTTGTTCAGGTTTTTTTAATCAAATATTTAAAGGGTGTAATAGCTGCTTTAAAAGTACTTCAATGAATAAATTCAGTTTTACAATAGAAGATGTGCAAGGCACTGCCAACAGACAGGCCACAATTGTTCATGCAAGCAAATACTCAAACACCCAGAATCCTGACTGTCCATTCATTGTTAACAAGGTTGCAGAATCAGCAGATTTGAATACTAGTAGCCCTTAATTTGTGTAATATTTTACACTGCTCAAATTGTGCTATCAAGAATATTGTAAGTGTTGCTGAAGACAATATGCTGATTCTGCCCTGGAATTTTTGCCAGTGACTTACTGGAAGCAAGACTGACGTTTAAGCGAGAGGAGCCAGTAAAGACAAATGGAAGGCGAGTTGTATGAGGATGCTTTTTCAGGCAGTCCTTATTTGTAAGTGTAGGACTTCTTTTCCTAGCCTCCGGACTAAATTCGTGTTCATAGCTTCAGGGCCAGTGGTGATCCAGTCCTGCTGCCAGTATAGCAGAAGCCTACAGTATGTTCCTATTCCAAGCATGTGGTTAAGTTACTTTCTTATTACTTTTCTTTGCTGACTTGTTTGGAAGATGCATACCATACATTTCTTCACTTCATGTCCAACTGTCAAATCACACTGATTTTATTGACATTTTAAAAGACAAAAAGAGAATAAATAAAAAGAAGTTTAGGTCCCTGCTTGCAATTCACAAGATAAGATTTTGTTCAGACAGATTCAGTCTGTTTTAAATGGTTACACTGAGAAACAAGCAATTCAGTTCTGTTGCAGCAACGTAATTCGACTCCTGAAGCTAACATATCTGCTTACAATCACCTTTGATTTCTGTCATTTTGTTTTCCTCCAATCCATTCATAGAAATAAACGTGTGGTCTGTCATTTCTGTGAATGGAGGTTGTACTGAAATATCCTTTACTGCCCTCAAGTGGTCTTAGAGCCATATGCTTTTCTCGGGGATGCATGGGGCTCCATTTTGCTCTCTTTTAATAATGTGGTATAGTTGCTTGATGGATTCCAAAACGAAAACCAAAACACTTTTCAGTTGGGAAATAAAACAATTTATAGCTAAACAAAGATAATGATACAGAATTAAAAAGATAAGCAAGAGAAATAAAGACCTGTAAATATATAGATTTTGTAGGGTGAAAGTGTAGACAGCTTACATGGGAAGTCTGAGTGGTTTATTCAGCACTTTGAATCAATGAGTTAATGGTTGTTTAGCAGCACGGAACAAAAACTGCAACAAATCCAAAACAACTCCACACCAATGCTATAGACTGAAAAATCCAGTTAGCATGGGAAGCATTTTTACTTCAGGAGAACATATATTACCTTTGAAAAGTTAGTAGAAATACGTGGAGATGGTCTGTATGGTACTATAGGTACCGATACTCAATTTAGAGCTATTTATAGATAAATGACATTCCACAACCTCCCAAATCATTTTAACACAATCTATTAAAATTGATACTTTCTGTAAATGTTGGCTAATAACTATCATTTTTTTCTGCAGGAAACTTCACAACTTTTAAATAAGGCATTAAGATCTGAGAGTGATGATGGAAGATAGAAAAACTTAAGATAATGAGCATATAGTGTGACTTAAAAGAAAGAGGGAACTCTCTCAATTTGTTCTAATTGTCTACAAAGTCTCTTTGTCGAAAATGAGCCATCATTCCTCTGATGGCAAAAAGATGATGCTCAGTGGAGTATCTTATGCTTGTAGGCGGTGATACTTACATTGGTAGAGCCAGGAAGACGTGCAGTTTATCCCTGGCATCTCAGAGAGGTGGTGCTGGAGACCTGATGAAGGTGAAAAGAATTATCACCTTGAGCAAGTTGTTAAATTTGAAAGTCATGTTCCTATAGCATCTAATGCATGGAACAGATCTGCAAGCTGTACAGCAAGCTGTTTTGAATCATGAGTATGTATACATAGTAAGCCTCGTTTTATCCATACAGCCATCTCTGAAATGCAGCCTGCTGTGAGGTTTACAGCAGGAGTCATTCACTTCTTTGGACTCTTTTCAGGGTCAGCCTGGTGAGCTGGGAGCTCAAGGTCCAATTGGGTCCTTGGGATCTACAGGACCAGCTGGTCTGCCAGGAGAAAAAGGACAGAGAGGTGAGAATGGGCAGCCTGGGCCAGCTGGAGAAAAAGGTGATAAGGTAGGAAACACCATAGACAGCTCTTTTAGGTGTATACAGTACGTAATGTTAAATATTGACAAGTGAAACACAACCTGAATGATCAAAAAGCATTTGCCAAACTATACTCTTGCTCACACAAAATTCTCACTGAAATTATTACAGCTTTCTTTGAAGAAAATGTTTCAGGGAATTTTTGCTGTGAATTGCAAAATTAGAATTGTCAGAAGACATAAAATAAAATGAAACAGACCCAGTCTCTGATTGCTATATACCATGTCATCCTCCTCAGCCTCAAAGGTGGCTGTGGGAGGAATATGGAGCTGTTGAGAGGGAGTATGGTGCTTTTGAAAGTGCTGTAAACCGAACAGAATTTTATTACCACTTACGGAGCATGAATTGCAGTTCAGGTCCATGTCTTTCATAGCTGTACAATCCCTATACTTGGTTGTTGGTACATTATATTAGTTTTAATGGTCTAATTCCACTGATCTCAGTGAATGACTGAAATCACTCGTGTCAGTATCTAGCACACCTGAAATGTAAACCCTGTAAATAGAAATTGTGCTGCTGGTATGATCAAAACAGGAGCAGGGATGTGAATTTATCTACAGAATTATTTTATAAATTATAGGAAACTTCCCCTTCTCTTTTATAATCTTTGGAGAATTAATGAGTATGAGAGTTAGAAATTTGACCTGTACTGTACCATGTTACATGGGTAGCTATTGGCTACTAGTCTACTTATACTGCTAAGCCTGTATAACTTTTTTCAGATATTTATTTCTGATAATTATGGCTTTTGATTCATAGTTCAAACAAGACTGGGTTTTGTTTCTTGCTATATAGTATCACATATTCTTGTTTTTCATTCTTTTTAAGAGTTAATGGCCTCAGCAACTTTGTTTTTTCATGTCTCCTGTTTTTAGGGTCCAACTGGAGTCCCAGGATTTCCTGGTTTAGATGGTGTTCCTGTATGTATTGAATGAATATTGCTTTATAAAAATTACAGTTTCTATAAAGTCATAGCAAGTCCTCTGATAGAATAATACACTCAATGAATTGTTTGGCTTTATACCCATTGATATCATGTCACCTGCAGAATTACGTGTTTTGCAAAAATGTAAAATAGCCAGGGTAACTTCAGCTGTGTTTACTATTGATAACAAACACCTCAAAATCCCAACAAGGTAAGTACATAATTTTCATGCAGGAGTGGGGCAGTGAAGGTAGAGACTAGCCCATGTCCATGCAGCATGTGTCAGTGCTAAGATTAAAAACAATGAGTTTATTTTCTCAGGCTTCAGAGCAGGCTGTAGTCTGCTTGCTGCATTCTTAACATCTCTGAAAGTATCTCAAATGATGTACTGTTTTCTATTCAAACATTCTGATTTTTGCTTGTAGTGCTTTTGTGGGAAAAAAAAGCAACCATAGTCCAATAATTTTAACCTGAATAGGGACTGAAAAAAGGATCCTAAATATATCTTTATAAGCATGTAATTATATGTTTTCTGAATGTCTTCAGTGTGGAAATAGGTGTGGTAAAAGAAAGATAGTATCTCTCAGATTTTTAAAAATGCTGTTTATTAGAACTGAATTCCTATGCTGTTATTAGTTTCATATGGATCAAAGTCAAAATGTTGAATTTTGAAAGTGAAAACAGAACCAGAAACTAAGTGGGTGTCTTAGCATCTGCTTGTCAGCTGTCCACACTTGACAATGGGGCTATTGCCAGAATGCCTGTATAATGTAGAGGTCACAAGGCCAAAATTTAGCACAAAAAAGAAGTGCTCCCATGAAATTTTTATTCTTTTTGTGAAAAATGTTAATTAACAGTGTCCAGAAATTGGGATGAAGAACCTTAAGGATAGGAAGAAGGTAAAATTGGCAAAAACACTTCAGGCAAATGGTCAGGATACTCCCCTGATGCTTTTTCAAAATCAAACCAAAACAAAAAAAATTGGGTCAAAATTGCTATTGCTCCCTTATAAATGTTTAATTTTGTGATAATAATTTTTACTCTAGTGGAAAGCTCAGTCCAATGGAAGTCCCACTGTTTCTATTGCCTAGTGTCTCATTTGTAGTAGAACCAACCCCTATCTGGACATTGCTTAGTTCTTGCTAGGTTAGAAAACCACTTCCTTAATTCTTGAATGTATAGTCATAATCTCTGCAATTACTGTATGCTTGAGTCAAGCTGCAAGGTGTTTTTCCTTGTGTTATCAATTAAAAAATATGATGCTGCTTGAGATGACTTTTGTGTATTTCTTCAGCTTTTCTTTACAGCCACAAGAAAGGTTATAGTTAGAGGGCTAGAGTCTGCTTTCTCTGAGAAGATAGCACATTACTTTTTGACTACAGTGAGAGCTTAGTCTGGCCCTCTTAACCCTGTTATATTTGCTGTGCATCAGAGAACAAGATAGAGAATACTTGTATCATTTTTTATACATGAAAGAAATTCTATTGATCACAATAGAAAACATTTTTAATGCAAAGAGTATGAAGCTGGGACCACTGTGAGATGTCCTCTGTTTCAGATCTGAGATGCTTGATTCTGAACTGTTCTGTTAATTAAAAAAGTAGTTCCTTATTTATCATGGTGTGTATCTCAAATACGAAACTGTCTTTCAGGGATTACCAGGAAGTGAAGGACCCAGGGGCAAGCGTGGTTTAGATGGCTGCAATGGCTCAAGAGGAGATCCAGGATTCCCAGGCGAAAATGGTTATATTGGGCCAAGAGGTCCTTATGTATGTGAAAGGCTTTGCTACTATTTAGGAATACTGTGTATGTACATTTCCCCTCCAAGCTAACAGCGCTTAAAATGAAAGGAGTTTCAGACTATGGCACTAGCTTTACACTGCACAATGAATTTCCAGGCATTCTTAGTAAGGTTAATGGGAGTGAAGGACACTTGGTGCCTTAACAGATTAAGTTTAAGCTTCAATGAGAAATAAGTTCCCATATCCTTAAAGTATATATATCTACCTTGAGAATTAAATTCTGCTTTGTTTCTCTAGTACATAACCACACCAAAGCTAATACCATTTCATGGAAGTACAACGGAGAGGGAGTAGCTTGAAACCATCATACCATTTATCAATACTTGAAATTTCTTAAAAGCCTTAATAGTAGGGACATACCTGACATGAATTAGCAATAAGTGGAAGCTTCAACAAGTTCAACTCCGATAACACTTGAAGATTTTAGTGGTTGGTCACACAAGTGTATTAGGAGATCTCTTCCAAATTTATGTGCCACTTTTTACACATACCTGTTCATAACTGCTGCTCTGTGCACACCTAATCTTGCCTGGGTGTTTATATGTAGAGATCATTTCAGTTAAAATGTTTAAAATTAGCACTTCAATATTGTTTACTTTTGCTGTTAAAATGGAAAGCATTTTAAAATTGTTTGAATAGTTGTGTTAGCAGTGCTAACAATTCTTCTAATGAAGATAAAATACAGATTCATGTCAGTAAAGGGATATAAATTACTGTAACTCCAAAGAAATTTTGCTGCATAGATCTAGTCCCAAGTCTTTGACTTTTCGTGGAAATGGGTTTTAGTTCTGAATGATTAATAGCTGATTAGTTTGTCTAAGATCTTCCCTGAAATTTTCTAAGTAAAACAATGAAAGCAAGTGCAATTTACACGAAAAGTCAAATGTGTTTAGTAGGAGCTAAATAAGATGCTGATTCAGCCATAGGGAATCAAAAAATGTCCAGTGTGTGCCAGAGTGAAAAGATGTTATCAAAATATAGCAATTAGAAAAAACATACAATTTTAGTCTTGGACCTGTAATAAATGCTATGAAATACAAAACCTGATAAAAACTTGGCAATAACCACATTTGTTACACTTCTTAAAGTAACTCATTAACCCTCCAAATGGTAAAATGACTTCTGCTCGAGCTCTTAATTTTACCTGTATGTTCTTATTTATTATGGCTTTCAAAATAGAGTCTTGCCTTTTGTAATTAGCCAAATGACATAAAGGAAAAATGAGACATGGGACAAATTACAGCATAAATTCTCCCAATTCCAGGGGAATGCTCTTTGGCAGGCCTAGAAAAGTATTTGCAACCTACAAAGAATGGGAGACACAACAGGCATGTAGCCTTGGATATGCACACTAAAATTGCAGTGCAAATTAATTCAGCTACCCAGAAAAATGACAGAGTAGCCATATTTGCTTGTGTACAAGAATGCTATTCCAACCACTCTGCAATTTCCTATTTTTAAATCAATTTGTTGCACCAAGTACCCACTTGACTATATATTACAACTAACATTTTTGTTATTTATAATGTTGTCCCATATAATTTTATTTAACGCTATATACATATTTGTAGCTTTACTTCCATTACCTTGTAGAATCTTTACATTTACCTCAACAATAAATTGGAATAGAGAGTAGTTTCTGTTTGTAAGCCCTTACCTAAGTCATGTAGAAGGTAAAAACTGGAATCTAATAAGGATGTTTTATTACACAGGAGATCACATGTAAAATAACTAAAGACAAAGTTTTTGATGTGTTTAATGTATTCCCTAGCAGCTGTTGTTTGACCTTTAATCTGCATGCAGTCTACTGTAGCTACATCCAGCTGCAGGCAGCTGTAACTCTTCTTTATATTGTACCATTCCAGGGATAAGTACTTTCCCTGTTTCATTCTGACCTCAGGATTTGAGCAGCCAGTGTATAATATCAGGAAACAGTACAGTTTTAAAGTGGTTAAATTCTGTGAAAAACAGTATCCCATTTTATTGAAATCAATAGTTAAGTGGTTATAGGCTTCAGTTAAATTATATCCAGTATGTTTGGATTTCAAATGAGAAAACTTCAGAAATAATGTCTTAATATAGCTGTTCTTCAGACATATACATATCATACTCTTAACAATCAATTGAGCATTACAATTAAACGTTGCAGAAGCGGTCATTTGCTCCTGCTAAGTCAGATTGAGGGTTTGAGGGTGCTGAGATTGGCAATTTTATAAAGGACTCCACAGCATGTACCATGGGAACTTAGTTTTTTTAAAAAAAGGGCCTTTAGACATCAGATTATTTTTTTTAATAGACTGAGAAACACATTTCCTAATAGATGGAAATGTTGAATATCATGCATGTAACACAGTCTATACTTTAAGCTTTTTAACTGTATGCAGATTCACACTAAATTCTTCTAAATCACAGCATAAGCTTTTGGAGAAGGCAGAGTGCTAATACTTAAAGCCACTGACTCACTGAAAGAAAAGGTAAGCACACTGATATACATGATACTAAAGGCAAGATTTGTGAAGATTGTAGAATATTGAAGTACTCAAGAGCCAAGGACCATCTAACAGAGCAGGAGTCCAGAAGCTGTGAGCAGCTGTTTTGCTCAACTGTACAGAAGGCATTTTTACTTTTAAGGGTCTTGTTAGATAGAACAACTGCAAAATGCTCATGCAGTGATGGTGGTTCTAGGGGATTACCTAGTGATGTATGGGCACCAGAAAAGCACAGCCTGAGAAATTATCATTCAATTTCCATAGAAATGTAGGATATCAGTAAGCAGATCATGTTTTAAAAGACTTTTTTTTCTTTAAAGGGAGATCCAGGGCAAAAAGGAGAAAAAGGAAATCCAGTGTATGTTTCACATTTTGGAAAAGGACCTCCAGTAAGTATCTGATTGTAAGAAAAAAATAACTCGTAGGAAAACATGTATGGTAAATGTTATTCTTCGCAGAACTCCTCACTGTTTAGTAAAGCTTCGTACAAAAAGATTAAAAGCAAATATACAATGGGAACAGATAGCTTCTGATCTTAATAGCTATAAAGTTAGAAAATACCCACAACAAAGCTTGTAATGATTCATTTACTAAATGGTTGTCATTACAGGGAGACAGAGGTGATCCTGGACCCCCTGGCATGCCTGTAAGTACAGTCAGTGGGTTCTATACATGCTTTTTGTCTTGAAGATCTTTCAAATTTTCTTTCTTAGTAAAGAAATATTGAGGTTTCTCCCTGCCTACATTAAGTAGCAAAATCCCAGAATAAAGTCTAACAATCATCGAGTCCCTGTAGTCTGCCCCATGACTAGTTCATGCTGGCTGAAAAGGAGCAGAAACAGACCATACCCATTTGCATTAGCTGTGCATTGAGCAGTTGACGCTCTGGTACTCACAGGTTGCAGAATATTTCCTCCATGAAATTCAAGCTGCACAGAGATGTGACACCTTCTTCAACAGTATCTGGTATCTCCCAAGAACATGTAGCACACTACCATATTTTGGCCATAAAAACATGTGAGAAGAGGGAGTTTCATTTTGTTGCTGACTCACACTCTTAATAGCTTTGGGTTCCTCTTCTCGTGCATTTCAGAGAAATATTCACTGATGAACTGTATTGAGTCCCCACACTGTAGAACAATTACTGACAAAGTATTCTTTCAATCCATTAATAACACATACCTGTGCAGTGTCTGTACAGTATTATCCAGAAACTGATGCTGAGCTGCTCTTGTGACAGTGAGGTTTCAGGGGTGGTATAATCTTCAGGCTACAGGTGGAATGCAGTGGCCAGTAGCCTGAGTTCAATGGATGCAGGCATTTTGGTGGGACTAGTTTTGTGGAGAAAAGGTTAAGCTCTTGGTATTTTCACAACAGACCTTTTGCCATCTTTTCCAGGGACCTAGAGGGTCAAGAGGTACAACGGGCCCATCTGGATACCCAGGCCATCCAGGCTTGCCTGTAAGATCACCACAGTTATACAGCCTTGCATTTTCAGGATATGCATAAATTCTGGTCTACCAATTTTAGAACTTGCCTTAATGTGAATCCAAACCTAGAAATTATTTTTGAGACGGATGATAGAGAGATATTTTTGTCTTACCTTATGAGTTTGAAAGTTCAGGAATTGGAGCATATGTTGTTCCTTCCCATGGCTGCATGAACATGTTTCATCCTGGCAGTCTGTGGCCATGGAGGAATGCTGCTAGTGCTCTCTCCTTATTCCCTTTCCCCAAGGCCACCTTGTGGGACACAGAAAAGTGGGAAGCCAGAGTTCAGCCCTCCTGAAAGCAGTGACCAGGTGAAGTAAATTGCACTTTGGGATAAGTACATCCCAAGAGGAAATTCTGCCTCTAGGTGCTAGCAGCAAGAGGAGGTAATTTTCAAAGCAAACCTGTCTCTAAATCAGACATATTAACTTGCATTCATTCTCTTTTAAAGGGTGTTCCAGGTTACCCTGGTTTGCCAGGTGAACAGGTAGGCAATGACTTTTCCTGGAGTTGTTAGTGAAATAATAGAGTAATTTATACAAATATTTTAAACGTCCCTTGTGGTTATTTGTTACCAAGTTTTTCAAAGGAGTTACTTGATTAAATTCTAGTGTCAGCATTTTATGATTATCTTCAAACTGTGTGCATTTTTTTGTCAATTAGGGAAATCCAGGTATTGGTGTGGACGGACAAAAGGGGGAGCCGGTAAGAAAACAAATATTATTAAATATATTATTGCTGTAGAATTATAAGTATAATAGAGCCTTGTTGTGTTCCCTGGAACCCAATCATTTGTGGCTGTGTGCTCCCACTAATAATGTTAGAACAGAAGGTGAAGTAATGTAAGTTATTGAATCCAGTAATTCTGTGCAGAAGTGATTCCTTCAGCAAGCTGCACACAGGAATCAAGCATATTCTGGAGGTTTTGAAAAGCTACAGTCAAGATGTTGGTTAGCATTTACACAGCAATTACCTTCTGTACAGACACTGCCTAAATAATAACAACAGTGCCCTCCAATAACAGTGGCTGTACCAGATCAGTCGCTGAATCTCATCTCTTGCTATGTCCAGCAACAGATGCCAAGGGTGTAAGAAAAGAATAAACATATAAATAATAGTCCCTCGCCCAGTCTCCACCTGTTAGCGTACTCAGGATTTATAGAACCAATGTGGAATATTTTATTTTTCTTCTACGAATTTTTCCAGTCACTTCTTAAAATTCTTGCAAGTTTCTAACATGCACAACTTTCCATAGCAAATGAATAATTTCATCTTTAAATTCACAAAGCCTTGTGCTCAAAGGCTTTGGTCTGGAACACACAAGATATTTGACAATCCTGTAATGATCTCCACAGCAGACTTGGAACAGGAGCCACGAGTACAGAGCTCTCATTTATTTCCTTAGCCATAACACTACTTTTAATGACTGAGGAGAATTGGAAGGGATTAAGTTTGTCAACCTTGCTCATCTGGGAAGATGGTAGAGAGGTTTACAGATCTCAGTACAAACGTTTATCTGTAGATATTAGTACATGTTCAATGAGTACAGAAATACATAGTGCTGTAATAAAACAGGAGAACATGCTGAGTCTCACTGAAACGACGCATGGAACAGAATGTCTCTCTGCTGTTCCTTTGGCTTCCACAGGGCGACATTGGACTTCCTGGGCCGCCTGGGTCACCACTGTTAGTTGGACCTCCTGGAGCTCAGCTGTTCAAAGGAGAAAAGGTGTTAATTTGTCTTCATATTTAACTGTGCTCAACTTGGCAAGTACAATCCTGTGATGTAATTTTTGCAAGGATGGCATAGGACAAATCTTTCTTTCTGTAATAAACCATCAGCTTCCGCAGAAATCCTGTGGTTCAGCACCCTACCTACAGGCTTTCAGGAGAGGAGAGCCCATGTGTACTTTAGCTCATGGCCTTGAGGAAAGACTGTCTTGATGCAGAAAGGAGATACTGCCTTTGCTTTGGTTTTCTTCACTTTTTGTCATTAGCAAATCATATTTCAGGTATCTCGGGTTAAGTTGGTTACTCCGGTATTGAATCTGTTCTGTGACTCTTGACTACCACTTTTATTTTTCACATCTTTGGCAATTATTCTCTTTGAGTTTTCTCCAATGTAATGTTTCCAACTATCAAGCCTAACCCCTCTCTAGGGTGCTCTTTTAATATGAAAATGAAGTGTGATTTTGTTGTCTATTTTTAATGCAAGTTCCTGTTATTTACTTCAATATCACACCTACTGTAGGCACAGTTGTGTACCTTAAAACCTTAAAATGTTCGTTTAAAAAGATCAAAAGTTACAAAAACTGCATTATGGAGCCCTATATTGTTTATGTCCTCAAGTCTGATTTGCCCAAATACAGAGATGAACAGGTGAATTTGGCCTTGGCAGCCCCTTGCAGCCTCAACTCAGGGAACCAATAGGTTTCACATGTTGGATCTTAGGCTTTGATTATGCAAACAGTTGCTATGTACAGGTGTACAAGGAAGAGGGAAGGGACCGAAAGAACTTACATAAACTCCCCATGTTACTGCAAAGTGTAACATATGCTGCTGTGCAGCACGCAACATGAGCATGACCATGCAGCCAGCCATGCATCCCGTTCGGATTGGGACTATACACAAAAGTGTAGATTTATCCATGTGAATACTCACATCAAACTAAATACAGCAGCAAACAAAAAAGAACTACCCTCATGCAAGTTTGCAGGAACAAAGCCCGGATTAGCAGGTCACTGCAAGTGAAAAGATACATCTATCTCACTTCACAGTCATTATGCTGGTTTGACAGCGTTAACAGAAATAAAAATCAGTACATAATTGTTCTTCTTGTTTTCTTTCCGCCTAGTACATCTAGAGGAACAGGCCCAGTGCTTAAGAGTATACTATTTAACAGTTGCAATTCAGAACAGGACTTAAAAAAAGTTAAACAGCACACAGTCTTGCGCATTAATATACACAAAAACTTTCTTTGTACCCATAGGGCCAAAAAGGACTACCTGGGGTAACAGGATACAGAGGGCCACGTGGACCCAAAGTAAGTAATGTGGGTTTTTGTTTTTCATGGTGCTGGCAAAGTCCTTCTGTGGTTAAGTTAATCTTTTAAAGCACAAGGTGATGGAAGAAATAACAGCATTTATGCTGTGAAATTTAATCACCATCTAAATCAATGTGAAAGCAAAAGTATTTCAAAACCCTTTGGAAAACCTTTCGGAGTCTGTTTTATACATACCTATTGAATATTGCCTGGTAGCGAAAGGTCAGTGCTGTTTCCAGGTGGGCTATTGACACGTAATGGACGGGGGCTGCGAAGAAAATAGAAGCACTGATTATTTTTTCTCAAGAAGAGAAATAGAGAGGATCTGTATGTGTTCTTAATGGGGTGTGGTATGTTTCCCTAAGTATGTTAACATTAGGGATATCCTCAAAATTAGAGAAGGCAGAGCCACCTGTTTGGAGAAAGAATTGCTCTTTGCTATCTACTCTACATTTTCTTCTCTTTCTGTCAGCATGATTAATTTAAATATTGGTGTGCCAGTAGGGAGTTCCTGTCTGCTGAGCAGAAGCAGCCACAAAAAAGATTCTGGAGTCTTTATTGCTGATAGATTTGGAGGAGGAAAATCCACAGGCAGAAAACTACCAGATCTCAGAAACACAGAAGATAACTGGGGAGAAAAGAATTAGTCTAGTTTATGTTAAAAACATATTTAGCTTTGTAGGCAAAAGAGAACAAATGAGAAGCCTGCACATCACATTTCTGAGTTCTAAGTCTAGCACTTTTTCAGAAATTCATTTTCCATTGTAAAAGGACCACTGTTACTTAACACTGAAAAAGGAGACAAAGCTGATCTTTTTATATCGGATTCACTTTGAAAAGAGATGGGCTTTATATGCTTCCTCCAGTACTAGCTGTCCATGTAGAAAATAGCACACTTGTTAGTTATAAGCACAAACTGAGAAGTTAACTGATGCAGCCCAAACAATGCCCAGAGCTTTAAAAAAATAAAAAATAAACTGCTGAAAGCACATTAAGCTTGGAGAAGAGACCGTAGCAGGTTCCTTGTGTAACTGAAGCTATGTAGGCACTGCTAGTGGTGCTGTACGAAGTAAGCTCCACTGGTTGAGCCTAGTAAGTGAAACAAGATCCATTAACCTAATATATACATAATTTAATAAACATGCACAAAAATTTAAATTTAGGGCAAATTTCACTGAGCATGTTGTCTAACAAAGTATTTTGAATGCTCCAGGGTGTACCTGGGAGAGGAGAAAAGGGTGAAAAAGGCACTCCTGGATTCCCTGGATTGCAGGTAAGGAAGTTGCAGAATAAATTACTTCACGAATTCACTATAATTAGGTTCATAATGTATTTGGCAGTTTAAGTTTGCATTTCCAAGGAAGATTTTAAGGGGTTTTTAAACTAATCTGTCATAGTTTCTGTATAGAATATTTAGGAGTCCAGTCCTGGGACTGACACTGTCTCAGACTTAAACATAAGCTCATACAGACCTCTGTCCTTGGAAAGAAAGTAAATCTGTAGGGTTATGCTCTAGACATTTAGAGCTGCACAAAGCTGCTCTGGAGTAGCACAGTACTACCACAGTAATTGTAACGGATTCCATACATGCTGATGGCAATTTTTTACAGCAGGTTGTGCTTGATTTGCGTTAACAGTGCTCACATGGAGCAACATGCCCACTACCGTGCTTAGTGCAATATGATAAGAAAATTGAGTGAAGATCTGTCTGGTTTACTTTGGTCTATAGTTCAAATTCATGCCCATCTCACTTCAAGTATTTGCAAACACTTTGTAAAATTTTTGGGAAATATTCCCAGTAATAATTATCTAAGGAACATCAACTGTTTTAGCTCACATTCTGCTTGTTTTTATCAGGGTAATCCTGGTTCTTATGGTCCTGCAGGTTTTCCTGGAATGAAGGTAAGAAGACAAAAGTATAAGCCCCCCTGAACAGTGGGATCAGTGAGATTTGGTTTTCTGTGGATTTGTGCAGATTTGGAAGTTCCACATACTCGATAGCTCATATTACATTCCTTCCTTTCTCTCCTGATACCTGTTACCACAGAAGTTATAAAAACTCTTTGTCTTTGGATTTCTGCCACTCTCTGAAATTTGGCTAAAACTGATGGGATCTGAAGTTGCAAGCAGGAGGAAAAGCCAGTGGGACATGCATATAGCAAGATGGAAAAGTTATGCAACATGTTAACCTTGCATGCCACGGAGATGTGTAAAGAATTACGTGTAATTTTGTGTTATATGCATGTTTTGCTCATCTTGCTGGCTCAAGAAATTCCAGTTTTGCTGTTGAGTCTGATAAATGTTAGTTATGAACTTACAACATCTTACTGGAGTAAAGAACAACAGATGTAGGTATATAGATCTACATCTTCCCCTTTTTCCTATCTCTTCTCCCCAGCTCATTTTCAAATCTAGTTACGGTAATGATTATGCTATTCATAAATCACATGAATGCACAGATATTTGCATCTAGCGTTATGTTCCAGGTGACTGTTTTATCTGCAGAATTACTTTTTACTTTGTTTTTTACCACCGCCTACCTAAAGAGTTTGAATACTGGATGGATGACTATATTAGTAGATCATAGAAGGAGAGGAGGAGCTGATATGCAGCTGCTTTCCATGAATAATAGTTTAAGAGGGTCGGTCAGCAGGCAGCAAACCAATTTCAGCTGTATTAAGCAGACAGTCTATTAGAGTCTGCTGGTATGTATTCCAACTAGTTCTGTGCCCCAGCTACACTGAATCTACTGATCACTGTCTAAATAAGCTGGCGATACATATTGTGGGTTTGTTTTTTTTCACAGAAGAGATTCTACGAAACTTACCATCTCTTGCACAAACCCAGTTAATTTTCTGAAACAAACTGCAGATGCCATTACAACATGACAGTATTGCCTTACTGGTTTTTGTTCAATTAATTATATTGTCGTAACAGATTAATGAAGTTATATTCATGTGATTCTTTCCAGGGAGAAACAGGATTTGCTGGTTTTCCTGGACAACCTGGCTATCCAGGCATACAGGTAAAAAAACCCAAAACACAAACATGCATGTGCATGCACATGCACACACACACACACACTCCCCTATATAAATGCTAGTGATTCCTCCCAAATGTACCTGCTTATCAGACCATTTCCTTTTATACAGTCATAATCACCTTTAAGATTTACTGTTTTCATGATAGTTATAGTTACTGAACACTGCAGTAGTAAATAACAATGTAAGTAAACATTCCTGCTTAGTGCATAATGAGAGTAGCAATTCCATGTTGCCTACCACAGGAATCGGTTAATCCCAATTGCCAATAGTTACCTTTAACTATACCAGTATAGCTAGCTAATCCATGAATTGTAGTACTCTGCAAGTTATTCATGGCTGAGCTGCATTCCCCAGAGAGGTATGCTAGGTAAAGGAACCTGCGACTTAAGGAACAGTATAAACTTTTGGTCTATGAACTAGTATAATAATTGGCACCAAAGGAGGTGGCAAAATTTGATTCAGATGGGCTTGTTTGCATGACTTACCAAAATATCTCTGCATGTGTTCAACCTGTTCACATAAGTACTGAGATGCTTAACATAATGGAAATTGGACTCCTTCCAACTTTGTTTAAACATTTCCTACTTTGCTCACGTGGGTGATGCTAGCCATTTTTGTTTATTTTGCAATACATGCTGCTTTCCATTAGGGATTAGAAGTGTAGGTGTCACATCCGGGGAGCTTAGTAGTAGAAGAGAATATTCATCTGAACAGCACAGAAGAGATGCTTAATACAATTTCAGAAGACCCGGGTTCCAGTCTAGTGACATTTCAGGATATAAATTTATGGAATTATCTTCTGCAAACTGCAGAACCAATGATCTTATTTGTAATTCTGACTACTAGATCATGTTGTAATTCTGACTGTCAAACAACAAAAACTTGAATGAAAGGAACCATTATATTTTCTATGGAATCTACAATGCCAAAGCACATTCAGAATGAAAAAAATGTTCTGGATGCTACTCTAGAAGGAGCAGTGAGTCTAGCCAGGGGGGAGGTCTAGGGAGTCACTGGGATAGGGCCCAAGTGGTCAGCAGTGTATGAGCAAGGGAAGTGAAATGCTGCAACAGGGAAGGTGGGTAACAGGATCATCAGTAGAGACAGCAAGGTTGAAAAAGCTCAAAGTTATTACCACAAGACAGAGGACAAAATATTGCAGAAATTGTGACACTAATGAACTTGGCTCTAAGTATTCTGAAATACAAAAGTCAAGAAGTGTTTATTTCCCTCTGAAATGATCTTTTTGGTATAAAGCAGTAACTTTTCTTAAAGCACGATTAGTTGCATCTGTGAATTCAGAGGAATGACACTGAAAAGATTTGAGCAAGAATCACCTCTGTTACCAATTGAAGGTTACGATTAGAACACACTACATAATCTGTGATGACAAAAGGGAGTAAACTGTGGCTGGTCCAAACTTGCCATAAGTAGTGTACTGCTAAAGACACAGTTGAAAGCAGACAAAAAGGAACAAAGAGGTTTTCAAGAAGCAGGTTTACAAATGAGAAATGACAAACACATGGAGTAAGTAAGTAAAAGTACAATAAAAACATCTGGTTTAGTCAGAGGCATACTTGTTTCAAAGTTTGGACTGCCAGGAGAGTGCTAGATCAGCTTCTTCAGCCAAGATTTCATTTATGTAGTCTTAGTTGGGTGGAAAAAAGATTGCCCATGGATGTTCATTTTTCTCCCATTTGCTCATTATCAGCTTCACAGTAACGTGGGATCATTCAGATACCAGACACACACATTGCATGCCTTATTTAAACAGAAAGATCATTACAGTCCATTACTCCCCAGAAGTAGAATAAAACCTTAAGTGTTTTGTTGTTACAAAGTACTCAACCTGATATGCATATTGTTTTAGTTGGGGGCATCATTAACAAACTTGAGACAAGACATTGTATAGACAGAACAGTGCGTTCTTCAATCTCCATTGATTAGCCCACAGCCTGACAAGCCATCAATTAACACTACAAACAATAAGCAAAAAAAAATTAGTTGTTGGAAGATTATGCTAGGGAAAAGTTTGATTGCCTACAGTAATGATTTGGAAAGGTGAAATTACAATTGCTAATGCATGGAACAAAAGAAAATGATCAAGTATAGACAAAACTTTAAAAAAATCAGGTTAACTCATACAGATATGCAAAATTTTGAGTGATTTGCACAGATGCTGTAGTTTTGCTTGGGGAACAATTGGATAAATCTGATTATTCCTGAAAAGTCCAGCTCTATCTAGACTGCATCTGCTCTTCATCTGGTCTCACCAGGTATTGCTTATGATCTGCTAAAAATCACATAAACTGGAGGAACAAGAATATGATTAAAAACCCTCCTGAGAATAGCTCATTCTCATGTAAATTTTCTGAAATAAACACGTTCAAAGAGGATCGAAAATGCATTCATATGAGATAGAGACTCAGAAAAAAACCCAGTTACATTCAAAGTAGATTTCATCTTAAAAAAAAAAGTTATCTGTTGCTTAAAGCAAAGAATGGACTTCAAGGAATTGTTGGTGTACCTTTTGATCCCTAAGTCTGGACACTGACAACACTGTGTGGGTCTTGAACATGAGCCAGCAACATGCCCTTGCTGCAAAGGCAGCTAATGATATCCTGGTCTGCATTAGGAAAAGATTGCCAGCAGGCTGAGGGAAGTGATCCTTGCTCTCTTCTTGGCACTGATCTCCATCTTTGTAGATATTCTAAAGCTGTCTGGACATAGTCCTGGGCAACCACCTCTAGATGGTCCTGCTTGAGCAGGGGAGTTGGACCAGATGACCTCCAGAAGCCTGTTCTAACCTCAACCATTCTGTGATAAATTTAAAAGAGACACAGAATACCTTCTTCAGACAAAATACAAGGGGGGATATGAGTCCTGTTGAAATCACTCCGAGACCATTTGTCTCTGTTACTAATGGAATAAGTCTCATTAAAATAATGAATGGTCTTTACAGGCAGTGTAAAACGTTCTTGGCCATTGACATTATATAAGGATATAGAAACTTACAGAACAAATAACAGTGTTTAATGCCTAATAGGGATATCAGTAAAACTGAGAAGTGATTATAAGCTTTAAGATGACTCCAGGTCACAGAATACAGTAGCTATATGCTTCTGTTGGATGTTTTTGGCTTTTTCTTTTTAATAAACTGTTGGCAAGTCGAGTGTCCTGACATTTTGATTGGAAGAGAAAACAGTATCAGTCAACAAAATAATCCAAACATACATATGCCACTATGTGGGAGTGTACCAACAGTGAAAACACAGCAAGTACGAAGCTGCCATCCAGAGAGGGTCGTAAGACCTAACGTCATAAAGACAGAGATTTTTCAGAGACCACCACTGGAATTTGTCACTTAAGGAGATACCAAGAAGTGAAATTTTTGATCTTGGCTCATTAACTCTTCAGTTCTTTGCTGGGTTCTGGTTGTGTCATTTTAAAATCAGCATGAAAGTCATAGAAGTTGGGCCATATCCATCTACTGTACAAATCTTTGATACTTTTATCATAATTAAATTAAATCTCAGAAGAATTAAGTTTATCAGAAGAGGAAAAATGCTAGGTTTATTTTTTCTTTCCTGCCACAGAGAAGACTCTTCTATGTCATTAGGGAAGACAAATTTACATTCCTGTTTAAAATAGCCAAAGACGACACAAGGATGTTATTTCATTTTGCAAGATATAGTCAAAGGGAAAGGGCCAGCTAAGATGCCAAAGGTCGAGAGGACAGCAGTCAGTGACAGCTCCGGAACTGTTTAAATATCAGAGAGATACCAATTTAAAAAAAAAGCCTGGAAAGAGGCATGGACTCCTTGTTTTCACTTGTTTAAGAATGGGTATCCAGTTTTGCAGTCCCAGTTCTCCCTGTTTGTGTCCTAAAAGGCCCTGAACTCCAGTCCCAGGAATGCACCCTCACTACGCAATTCCCACATTCACATTCTTGTTTTCTCAGTTCCCATTTGCTGCAGAGAGCAAGGCTGATTCCTAATCTACAAAGCAAAAAGTCTAATACAATTTACCACATAAAAGACTTCCCTAAAGTCCACTTCACTTGAAATTCTAAATATCAAGATCCAAGTTAATTTAGAAATCCTCCAAGCAGAAGTGATTTTCCTTGCCATTAGTAGGCACTTTTATGCTTCTCTGATGCAGATGTTTTGAACTTCTTATAAGAACTTTGAATATCTCTTACCATCTCTTACTATCTGTCGGACTGTGAAACCTATTTTCTTAAATGCTTATCTGTCATCATAAATGTAATTTCCAGATTCTGGTACAGTATTCTGAGGCAAATTACAGCTTGGTGGTTAGATTGAAACATCTCAATTAAATGGGTACTGATTTACTGTAATTGATTAATCTTTACAATAAATGAATAAAATCAGATACAGCAGTCACAAGTTCTGAAGAGTCAGGTAGATATGTGTGGTAGGTATATTACTGTTTAGTCACTAGTATCCTGAAAGATTATTATTTTAAATCTTTTTGCCTGGTTTTAAATGCTATAAACTATCAAAATCGAGTCTCCCAGGTGATACATGTCACATCCTTATATATCCCACCATTGTTGAAATTTTGAGTTGCATGCTAGCACACTGCATATTTGTACATATCAGTAAAATTTATTGTTGGACTCTTACAGGGGGATCCAGGAGAAGAAGGGCCCCCAGGTCCTCCTGGAGCTATTGGAACTCCGTTGCTTCCTATAAAAGGTTGTAGCTAGTTTTAACTAGTCTTTCTGCTGTATAAAGTGTGTAGGACCTATTTTGCTAAAGTGTTTGAAAGTGATCACTAGGGATTCAGGGGACAGGATCCTAAAACATTATCTTTCTAGTGGCCACAATCTGTGTGTATTTGTCTCTCCCTGATCTCTACTGGAACTATGTTAAACATACAAGTTTCAGATTAAATGTTTGCTTGAAAGATCTTCATGCATACAGTCACAGCTAGATCTGTGGGACTATCCCTAGTCATTGGACCTAAGCATATTTAAGCCCATGCTGGATAATGGATGGCAAATAAGAAAACCAGCCTTCCCATTGTAATTTAGAATTCCTATTTTCAGAATTGCCACAACACACAGATTTTAGACTGCAATTAAGCTTACAGGATTTCACCCCTCATATGCAATAGGAACTAGTACTCGCAGCAGAATACCTGTCAATCTTCTTACCTTCCTACCTAAACCTCAGGCTGGGTTTTTATGTCCCGGCTCCTTTTACCCCCATCTTTATCATCTAATTGGTGAAAAGGTGTGTGGGAGTTCTTATTTCTTAGCAGAAAGCAGCAGGGAACAGCCAAGCCTGCTGCCTGTAAGGGATTTGCTTCAGCGTCTCACACTTGGGGAACTTGTATTGTAAGAACATTTTAAACAGAGAACTTACCATAAATTGTATTTCTAGTGCAGCAAGTGCTAATCGTGAATACAGAAGTAAGTTACAACACAACTTGCACAAACAGCAGAACTGTTTGAGAACAGAACTACTACCAATATTTTGTTTTTCCAACTTAATGAAGCCCTTTATATCTGATTCAGGTTTTTCTTATCACTATGTAATTACAACTGTTAAATTTATTCATTACAGCAATTTTGAAAATACACTTTTTAAAATTTGGATAATTTCAGCTAGGATGATCCTGAAATGACCTCCCTGTGTGCACTGCCAAATGTGTATAATGTGACAGGCACATTTATTTTAAATGCTATATGTATTTATTTTGGGCAAACACTTTGCTCAGCATTCTGAAATACATAGCACAGAGATCCTACTACACAGTGACAAAGAGTTAAAACTGCCCAAAAGTGAGAAGGAATCCATAGAAAAGTAACCAAATCCTCCCACCTTAAAATTAAATTGTTACACATTTAAAAATGTTTCATAAACAAAAGAAGTTACTGCATTTTACTTTTGTGTAGTTCCCCAATTATAATTTTGGTTGCAGTTTAATTTAGATTTAAGCTGTCAGTTGCCTAAAGTGTTCAATTCACATGTTTTTATAATTCTGTGTAGGTCCACAAGGAGATCCTGGATATCCGGGACCTGCTGGTGACATGGGGTCAGTTGGCCCAATTGGTCCTGCAGGCCTGCTAGGAAGACCAGGAGTTGATGGAACAAGTAAGAGAAGTAGGGGATAAAATGTGAACTATATACCAGTAGGAGAGAAAGCAGCTAAAAGAAAACTGTTCTTTGTTCTTGTTTGATGCCAGTTACCAACAGTAAGGATTCGAGCTCTACAGAGAGTTCAATAATATCAGCTCAGCACTTAGTGGCCAAAAAAGAACCAAAATGATCCAAACAGAACATTAGGAATTACTAGAAAAGGAACAGAAGACCAAGCAGAATGCTACCATGCACTGTAAATCCATGGTATGCCTGTATCTGGAGTACTGTGCTCAAAAATTCTATTCTCCATCTCAAAAAGATATAAAGGAAGATGATGAGCATGACTTTGCTCTGCATAAGGAACTATCATAAACTGGGATGTCTGGAAAAAAGATAATGGGGAGGAGGAAAAGAAGCATTTGAAGGTATAAAGCAGGAGCCTCTTTTCCTGTGAATCCTGGAAAACCTAAAGATTTAGATTTAAGTGTTATACAGAAGTTCTTCTTCAGGACAGTTCTGAATGGTCTGTAATTTCCTCCTTGATACCTTGTAGTAATTGTTACTATGAAGCTGTATGGGCCGTATAGCATTATTTTCTTTATAGGTCTGCCTGGCCTGCCAGGAGTAAGTGGGGCACCAGGACCTCAAGGTTTTCAAGGTGATCCTGGTTTCCCTGGAACAGGTGAATCAATCCCAGGAAGACCTGGATTCCCTGGACCACCAGGCCTACCAGGACAGCCAGGAAGACAAGGCTTACCTGGACTACCCAGTAGGTTCAACAGCAACTTATATGGCGAGAATATAATTCTGCATACTCATAGCTTCATTGCTTTTGTTGGTCCTACAAAACTCACAGAGGTGAAAAGTGCATTTTAACAGATTATATTAAACTTCACATGTGATGCAGAAAACAAGTTTTTCCTGTTAGTTGTCAATCAGTGAGATGTCAAGACTTTCATAGTTTTCTGGGTGATTTAAACCCACAAAGTAACATAACTTAAAACTTACCCCAAAGTAACCTTATATAACAAAGGTCCCTAAAAATCTATCACCGGAAGTTAAAAATACAGCAAACTGGGGAGGAAACCCAAATCAGCATCCTTTAGTAAAGAAATGAGAGTCGTAAAAATCTACAGTGGAAAAAGGAAGAAGTAGTGGTAATGAAAAGACAATGCGTCAGCATCAACTTTAGCCAAACTCACTCTTGTATTATGATCTATAAGCAATGACTTGTAAAGCATTTCATAAGATCCTAAGCTGTAGAAACAGTCAACCTGGTTTATACTAGCTGTACAATTTGTTTTTTTCAAAGGTGTAATCTGTACTGGCAGAGGGGTCCCTGGACAACCTGGAGCAAAAGGTCAGACAGGCCTTCCGGGAAGAAAAGGTGAAAAAGGAGAAAAGGGTAAGTATGCCTGGATAGCAAAAACTTGAATATTGAACAATTTGAAAATAGACCTTTGCCAGATGTCTCAGACCTAAATTTGAAAAAGGTTTATGCTAACTTGGAGGGTAAGGCCTATCAAAGCGTGGAGTTAAATGGCCTGTTGACACTGAAGCTTCTAAATCAGTAGAGTCACGTCAGCGCAGCAGTTACTGAGCACTGTAAAAAGACTGATACGTTTTGCTCTTTTGAAGACCATAATGAGATACAATGGTATATGCACTACTCACACAGGAAAGAAGGGCAGTGTTATTTTTTGTGTATTAATATTGCAACTATTTCAATGTAATTTTGACACATTCACATAGGAAATCAAGGCCTCTGCTCATGTAGTGCTGGTCCTCCTGGTCCCCGTGGTATGCAAGGACCTCCAGGTACTCAAGGAAAAAAAGGACAAATGGGATATCCTGGAAGACATGGAGAAAAGGGCGATCCAGGCTTATCTGGTGCAATGGGATCACCAGGGCTCCCTGTGAGTAGTTTTCATGGGCTTCAGTAAATAAATAACATCAAGTTACCACTTATGCAGGAGGCAATTAAGCAGAGTGGTGGAGGAACTGCCCTGGGAAAACAATCTGAAAGTTTTATCTACATTTGGTTATTACAGTCTTGTTGGAGGATGCATTTTTATCAGCTGCTATCTGATTTGCCTTGCGGCAGTGGGTAGTTTTACACCGAGGGACAGAATCCCATGCTGTGTTTTTGGGGTGGTCAGGAGGCTTAGGAAATCTGGTGTATGTTCACCTTGTTTTGTTTTTACTTTTAGTTTTGAATACCCATTGTTTTTCTTGAAAACATTGTAGATGCCCAAATTGCTCCACTGATTTTTCAGTTATTTTAAAGGAAAGCATTTCCAGCAAAACTTTATCAAGGCAAACAATTGCATGATGTCGGCAGGTCAAGATGGATTTTATGTCAACATCAACCAGGGTGGGGGGCAGTTCCGAAGAAAAAGGAACCCTTGATTTTGTTCAGGCATTTCAAGTAATTTTCTTTATTCCTTTTTTGGAAATTAATTGAAAAGCTTGATTTATTTGGCATGCTTAATTTTTTTTTTATGACGTAGTCTGAACATAGAGTCTTTCCCTCCCACGGAGTCTGGAAGGCATTGCTATCTGTTAATGTTTATCCCATTACTGTTCCATATTACTTTATAATCTTCCATTTTCAGTCACTACTCAGCCAAAGTTTGTTCTCCACAAGTATCAGCCACCATAACAAGACAAGGCATTGCCTATGACATAGGTATTAGCAATGAAGCTGAATTGGAATAAAAATTTTGCCCTTGATTTAATATTTCTTAGAAGGAAAAATGACTATAACCATCAAAATGAAGACTTTTAATTTGCTTGAATAACTTCCTTGCAATGTAACCATTTCATTTCAAGCTCCTCAAGAGCAGAAGCTGAACAAACTTTTTGGTAGTAAAGATTCTGAGTACTAAAATCATTTGACATTGGCGTACAATGTTCATTTTTTCCTAAGACCAGTTCATTCCATTGTTAACAAATCTGACATCCTGTTTTTCATGGAAAAAACCTTTTAAAGATTTTTCATGGCGAGGTGAGGAGAAGGAAATAATTAAGAAATATTTAAAAGGTACCTTTAGGTCATGTGTGTATTTCTACTTTAGTATTGGCTGTCAGCAGGATTAACCAAAAAAATGAATTTGAGCTCAAACCCTAAATGTTTCCTGGGTCAGTAATTCACTGGGTGATACTTGTTGCCCAATTCAGTGAAACTAGCTGTTACTTTTGGAAATGGATTTATTTTCTTTAATGTGCTTTATATAGTTTATCTAATTCCCCACAGTGAGCAATAACTCAAAACACCACTTAATCTAACTGCCTCAGGAATACATTATAAGATGATTTATTGGACTTGCTGTGATTTTGTTCCACTTGTTCTGGTCTGGCATGTGGACCATACATGTAGGATGCTGCATACCAAAATGATGCCAAATAGAGGGGTTTTTTTAATATACTTTCTTGTGTGTGAGAGCAATTTCTTTGAAAATGTAGGTAGATATGCTTGGCATATGATTGTTCCATTATGGGGTTTTTTGCTTGAGTTTTTTTAGAGGTTTTAATAGCAGAACTCTTTTTTCACATAAGGAATTGCTTAAAACTTTCCAGAATGTTTTCTTTCAAAAGAAAAAAAAAACAAAACAAAACCATTGCAAGACTGAAGGAAGGAGGTGGAGAGGCTCTGTCTTTCTAGTTCCAATGGTTACATTACAAGGTTTGCATTTGGTTTTATTTTCTTAAAATCCTATTACCTGAGTGGATTATGTGAGATTTTGATCTTTTTGTTATTTTTGAAAGCATGCCTTAATCCTTGTGGTTCTGAAGGAAAGCTTGAAGCATTATCCTGAACGTTTTGGTGTTCTTAGGTTACTTAAGTGCGAAACAAGGACAAAGTAATCAGTTTGGAAAGAAAGAATTCACTTTGATACAGAAGTGCTTTGGTCTAATGGATTTCCTACATATATATACACACTTTTTCCATTTTGCTGCTTTCTTGTCTTCCCAAATATGCCATTTTGTTTTCCAAACACTAGTAACTGGTCACTGACAACTTGAAGATCTAGACATTTTAACAAATAGTCACTGCTAGTTTCAGATACACAACATTCTTCAGAAGTCTCCTGCCTGCTTTACAGTTGTCATGATTTACAATCACTTTATAAATTGTATTTTCTCCACTTTTTTCTTAGTGAAAGATTTTGAATAACAGAGGAAACTGGCTAGATAGCCCAGTTTTTCAACTTCAGTGGCCTTTTACTTCTGTGTGCATTTCACTTGGTAAAATACATTTACCTACATGTACTGTTGCAAGATCAGATCCTCACCAATGACGATATGCAAACTGCACTCTGCTTGGAGAACTGAGAGCACAAATCATCACAAAAATATAAAAAAGTACTTTTCCCCTCTAAACCTGTCAAGCCATAGATTCTTCTGTCAATATCAGGTACTAAACTAGACATAGATGAAATTTTTTATTGGCAGCTTTGTGGGCTTTCACTCAGAAAAAACCCCATCACTTACCCACTGCCATGTTCACCTCTGGGAGGACAGCCTCATCCAGCAGTCACCACGCTCCAGAGATTCCCTTCCTGTGAAGCCTTGGTGGACTGTGGGTTGAAATCTGCAGTGGGAAGAGTTTGTGAATCACTTGCATCTTAGTATTCTTGCATTTACAGCCACAGCTGTATACAGCCATGGACCCAATTCTTCTAGCTTTACCATTTCTTATAGTTGTGTACCTGTGCATTTGGCAGCCAGGCTGAAAAGGCCAGGTGCCATTCACGCACTTCTTTATAGATGTCAGAAGAGATAAGCATTTCTTTTTGGCACATTACGTTAATTGGCCTGGTTTTGGGAAGCAATGCAAGAGCAAGAGATATATATATCTAATTTTCCCCTCAATTTCCACATTGATTCCTTGCTGGAGATAACGGACAACTTTTTTTTTTTTTTTTTGTCAATGGCAAGGGGATACCCGGTTCTGCTGGACAACATGGTGAAAAAGGAGAGAAGGGTGATCCAGGAAGAGTTAGAATAAAAGGTAAATGCACATTTTGTCATTAGCCTTTTTGTTTCCAATACAATGCCTAGGCAATAGTGTGAGAAAACCATATTCATCTACTTTTTAATAAAGTCATTACTTTAGTAAGTTACTGAAGCCTAGAGGTCATGCATATCCAAACAGCTTTCTTGGTACCATCTTGTTCAACAGCTTGTTATTAATGCTAACAAATGACTTTTCATGTCATGTCATTGGTAATCAGGGTCTTACAGAGGTTAATATAGCAAAGATTAAACAGAATACAATTATTATGAAAGTATGAAGAAATATTATTGACAGAAGCCACCTCCTGAAGTATCATATACAGACAACATCCCAGCTGTTATCTCAACTTAAACCACCAACATTCTTCTTGGGGAGAATTCAAAGTCTCAATGGCTATTCAGATTCCTGCTCTGATTTCTAAAAATTAATATTGACCAGGCATTGAAGAGAAACAATAGGCCACCAGTTGCACAACTGAAATTCTTGTAATTAAATAGATCAAATCCTCTCCACAGTTATGGTTATGATTTGCAAAAGCAAAAGACAGAACAACAAATTACAGCAATCTGATGGCAAAGCTTAGTTAGAAATGCTAAACTAATTATTCAGACAAAAGATTGTCCATCTTATTGTTTGTGAACAATTAGCTTAGCTTGGGATGCCTGTGTTTGCTTACAGATGTTGGAGCAGAGCAAAACATTTGCTGTTTATTTGCAAAAGATTTCTTGGCACAGCAAAATGAATCTTTGGGTTAGAATATTTTTATTGTCCTTAATACAAAAAATTACATTTTCATAAATATCAGTGCAAGAGAAATCTAGGGGAAAAAAAGAAAAATCTTTTGAGAATATTAATGCAAATATTCTGCATCATATGGCATTGCTATATCCTGATTTCACTGAAATCATGAATAAAACTGACTGATTTCAACAGCAAAATGTTTTCACTCTGTATATGGCATTAACAAAAGCCACATTCTTGTGGTGCCTGTAAACAGATCTTTTACAGAGAGACCAAATTGTTCCATGAGGTGTCCAACTACATACTGCCTTCCTAAGCCTAAAATACCTCGTTAAGGAAATGGGAATTCAAGAACTGGAAATACAGATATGATGAATGGTTACCCAGCATTTACCTGAGCAGAAATAAAAAACAAAACAAAACAAAACTTGCTGCAAATACACATTTTTGTTAATTGTTTTAAGGAATAAAAGGTGAAAGAGGTCCTACTGGGCTTCCAGGATTTCCAGGCCAAAGAGGTAATGATGGCAGAGATGGGGAACTAGGATTGCCTGGGGAAAAAGGAGCTGAGGTATGCTTGACTTTCTCAGATTTTTTTTTTTTTCTCCATTTCAATTAACATACTGTCTTATGAAAGGGCTAGCTACTTAAAGAAAAGTAACATCATATTCCAAATTCCTAGCAGATTAATCACTTTTATCGTTTTATGTTAGCCTAAATAAAAAATTGTAGTTTTTCTCTGTTGAAAAAATTATTTCCTTGCAAGTACTACTGTTTATTTTGGTATTCCTGAATATAATTTCTGCATATACTGTGTGCCAATATTAAGGAATCAGGAAGGAAAAAAACCCAACAAAACTCTACCTTTTACTTGTCTATTGCCTTTGAATATTTAAAACTACTATCAACCATGTAGTCGCTTCATTGTGGAAGAGTGGTTTCTCCAGATAATTCTCTAACATGGCTTTTAATAATCCTAGAGAGGAAAGAAATTAGATCTTGTTATTGCTTATCAACAATTTCTTTGTTTTAGGGTGATTCTGGAGTAGCACTGCCTGGTGATAAAGGACTCCCTGGGGTCCGAGGACTTCCTGGGGTAAAAGGACAGATGGGATTGCCTGGTTTGGGGTTTCCCGGCTCTCCAGGAGTCAGAGGCAACCCTGGAGACTTTGGTGATACTGGTAACATTGGCCCACCTGGTCCAAAGGGCCAGAAAGGTAATTTTGAATGTTTACATTAAGAACCAAATAACAAAATACATACTTGGTAGCATCCATTACATTTTCATATGTATTAAATACAGTGTTATTCATTTATAGTGAAAACCAACTTTGCAAGCTCAGTGGTCATGTGAGATACGGCCACTGAAGGGTACGGTACTGTCAGCATTTAGCAGCAGACGCTAGTGAGACTATGAATTGCTAGGGGCCTTAAATCTGCAACGTTCCACCTGCACACTATTAGAGGAATTATTTTCTGGAGTGAAGAGTATTCCTGAGTATAAGGATATGCAAGGCAATGCTTTTTTGCTGAAGGAGCAGGAAAATACAAGCATAGTTAAGGCTTGGTCTGTTTTTTGGTTATAAAAAAATCGTTACCAAAATTTAAAAAATCTACACCAATAGCAATATGTGTGAACCAGAAATGTACATAGAATTGAGAAGAAAATTTTTCTTTTGCAAAAGAGACTATTGTAAAGAAATTTCTGTGACAAGTAAAAAAAAAATCTATCTTCACAGAATACAACTGTAATACAACAATTTGAATCATTATCGATATTCTATACAAGTGTCCAGAAAAAAGGTATTTTAAGATTCTCCATCAAACCTTAAGTAATATGGAAATAACAATGTGCACTAACAGTCCCTTCTGTTTACCTTTGCACATCTGGTTGGTTAGATCCACAGAAATATAACAGGAAATGTTCAGACTCCATGTATTCTAAAACCAAATAGGCCAGTTTCTTTCTCCCTCTTGCTTCAGGTGAGACTGTCTGCATTACGTTACCATACCCTGGAAATCCAGGTCCCCCAGGTTTTAAAGGTGTTCAAGGTATGTTTACAGATGGGAGAACTTTTGGGTTTAATAGAAATGGGAGTTTTAAGTTGCTAATTAAAAAAAAAAGAAGCTGTCCTAAAAAGATATACTATTCTAGTTTTTCAACAGATACATGTCTCAAAATGTAAAACTGCAAATACAGAGGAATACTCTCATGTAATAGAACCAAGGGCTGCAGTTTGCATGATCAGGAAGAGTGCAGGCTGCCTCCATAGAAATGGCCAAAGGAAGGTAGCTTGAAATTCTGTTCTACCTCAATTGAAATGCATGAGAGAGTCTGTAAAGTACACAGATGTCTGGAGTCAGATAAAAGCTAGGATATGTACATCTGGATACCAGGGAAAAAAAAAATGTGTGCAAGACAAAGATATGCAGCAAGTCTGTAATACCTAAACCGATATTACTCATGGCAATTTGCAGTTGAGCCCTGAAGCTTGAATACTTATTAGCATTGCTTCAGCTTGTTCAACTTTATTTAAATTCAAAGAACTTACCCAGGAGCAGGCAAAATGTTGCTAGTGACAACCTTCAAAACATTTGAAATACCCCAGAAAATCCTGATCAGAACAAATGGAGATACTGGATTTTCAACCTCCTTAATATAGTGTTGCACAGCTCCCTGACATCAGTATTGTGGGTGGTAGTTAAATTTTATACAGACCTGAAAAGGGATTAGCGTATTGAGCTCATCTGCACCATTCCAGAAGCAGCATATAGTACAGGAGAATATAAGTATGTGAGTTGACACCTGTCATTCACTAGGTTAATGTTACAGGACACCAACAATATTAAAATGTTATAGGATTATTTTTTTCCTTAATTTATTCTGGTGATTTTCAGACTGCTGTTTATGCATTAGGGAACAAGACCATTTAGAAAAACAGCAACGATGCATTTGGTTGTGACTTGGGTGGTGGCTTTTGCCCAAAATGTTAGAAGCAGATAAAATCCACTTTTCTTCAAAGTACATGAATTTGCATGGGATAAAGAAGCAATACTGTTTCCTTAAATCACACATTTTAGAGCCCTGTCAGTTTTTTACATCTACATTTACATTTTTACATTACATTTTCTTTCTGTTTCCAGGACCAAAGGGTTTAAAAGGACACCCTGGTCATCCTGGACCAAATGGTTTTGATGGGCAAAAAGGGCATCGAGGCCGGCCAGGAGCAGGAATCCCCGGGCCAGAAGGTGAATTGTGCTTTTTTTAATCCAGGAGACCTGCAGGTCAAGCTGTAATGCATACACGCAGGGTAAGGTAGCTACCATGGTAGAATACAATAGGAAGCACATTTCAATGAAACCTAATGGAAGAGGAATCTTTACCGGTTTCCCATTCTTTCCTTCAGCATTGCAGGTGCTGCAATGACCTAAAGTTCAGTGACCAGAGAAGAACTGTTCTCAGAAAACAGAGAATAATTACTATCATTTTAGCAAAGGGTTTGAACTGGACAGGAGTGACAGTACACAAGATAGATGCTGCCCCAAAGAAAACCACTGTCACTTGCCACAGGAATAATTCCCTCCTTCAATCCTCATGTATCATTAGCTGTAAATGAGAAACCTGAATCACAGAATCATTAAGGTTGGAAAAGACCTTTAAGATCATCAAGTCCAACCATCAACCCAACACCACCATGCCCACTAAACCGTGTCCCAAAGTGCCATGTCTACACGTTTTTGAATACTTCAAGAGATGGCGACTCCACCACCTCCCCGGGCAGCCGGTTCCAATGTTTGACCACTCTCAGTACAGAAATTTTTCCTAATATCCAATCTAAACCTCCCCTGGCACAACTTGAGGCCATTTCCATTTGTTCTATCACTAGTTACTTGGGAGAAGAGACCAACACCCACCTCACTACAACCCCCTTTCAGGTAGTTGCAGAGAGTGATAAGGTCTCTCCTTGGCCTCCTCTTCTCCAGACTGAACCACCCCAGTTCCCTCAGCCGCTCCTCACAAGACTTGTGCTCCAGACCCCTCACCAGCTTTGTTGCCCTTCCCTGGACACACTCGAACACCTCAACATCCTTCTTGTAGTGAAGGGCCCAAAGCTGAACACAGTATTCGAGGTACGGCCTCACCAGTGCTCAGTACAGGAGTACAATCACTTCCCTACTCCTGCTGGCCACACTATTTTTGATGCAGGCCAGGACGCTGTTGGCCTTCTGGGCCACCTGGGCACACTGCTGGCTCATGTTAAGCCAACTGTCGACCAGCACCCCCAGGTCCCTTTCCGCCGGGCAGCTCTCCAGCCACTCCTCCCCAAGCCTGTAGCATTGCATGGGGTTGTTGTGGCCAAAGTGCAGGACGCGACACTTTTTAATGTATGATGTTATTTTTTCTTTGCAAAGTGTTAATTTAATTTAGTTATGGTTAAATTTGCGTTATAATTTTCCACAGTTCTGGAAAAAAAAACCCAACATAAAGCCAACTTCTGAATTATGCCCTATTTGAATTTAAAAATCATATCAACAGGCTTTCGAGGCAAAGCTGGTGATCCTGGTGATGAAGGTGAAAGAGGATCTTCAGTTGATGGTAAAAATGGCCCTCCAGGTCCACCTGGCATCGATGGTCAGAAAGGTATTCCCGGTGATACCACATATGGTCCTCCAGGAATCCCAGGCAACAGGGGACTGCCAGGACCACCTGGTGCACAAGGAGCAAGGGGTGATCCAGGCATTACTGGGCTTCGAGGTATGAGCCAGTTTTCATGAAGCATTTCCATGTGTTCACAGGAGAAAATCTGAACAAAGTTGGTCCCAATTCAGAGAAAACTTACTCTTATCTGGATCCGTAGTGGTGACTGAACAGTATGCCCTATTTTTACATTTACATTTTTACAGTTAGGTTGATCATCCACTGAGGACATCTGCACTGCAGAGGGGGAAGATGCCTTTACATGGATGGAATAACAGTGCAGCTTCCTGTTCTTACTACTGTTACTTGCTGCCTAGTGGCCATCTGTGCTTAGGGCGTCCTGCTCTGCCACACAGATAGTCCCTGCCTCAGATTGCTTACTCAAATCTGAAAAGACTGGCAAAAGGTGGGAGAACACTCAGAGAGAGTGGGGTGAATTTCTTTGCCCAGAGTTATATAATATAATCCTCCATATCTTGGGCACTAAACTCCTTGTTTCTGCAGGGGAGTTTTGCTGGTTGTTGCAGATGTCTCCACTTCCTTCCCACTTTATAGCCATTTTTTTCCTTTTATAGGCCTTCCTTTTGCCTGTCCCTAAGCAGACACACACCCCCTTCTGTGCACGGAACACCTACAGAACGGACCCGAGAGCTGTGTAGCTGGTGCACACCAGTGAGCTCCTTCCATTCTGCTCCTGTGCATCAGAAACTAGCTTTTTGTGACAAAGTCCTCCTCACCTGTAGGTGAGAGCTGAATTCATATTTGCTCCTTAAAGAAAGAGGCTCTCCACAACAGCCAATTCTAAATTGCAGAGAAGGATCAGTTTTCACAAGCCATGCAAAACCTAGAGGATAAGCAAGATATTACAATAACTGAACATGTAATTTCAAAATTATAATCTGGAATTCTGAGGGATGGTGAGTAATGCAAGTAAACAGTTGCTTTTTGTTTCCAGGACAGCCTGGTACCCCAGGATTTCCAGGTGCCAAAGGTTTTAGAGGCCCAGAAGGTGATATAGGAGCACCAGGCTGTCCGGGCTTCCCTGGTCTACCATGTGACGCAGGCTTACCAGGGCCACCAGGACGCAGAGGTGTCATGGGCCCGCCAGGACCTCAAGGTACACAACATCCGTCAGGTTGCCTCACGGCTCTAAGCTTTGCACATCTTTTCTACCAGATTTAATCACATGATTTTTGTGGCTGGCATGACAAATATTTCCACGGGCGCTGCTCATTAGTGGGAGGGTACATTATGTTTTGCACGTTTCCTTCAACTCAAGGAATGTATAGTGTGCATCTCAGATGTTTGCCAATTTTCCTTCCCTTCCCATACTGTTCGTTAATGGGCCAAATCACAGTGTGCTCACTGTCAAGTAATAAACAGAAGAGCCACCTCTTATTCTGTTGTCCCGAGTAACTTAACTGAGCTCCTGGCATTACTGTTATGCTTCTATGTTCAGTATTCTTAAACGGAAGTGTTATTTACGGAGAGGTAGGAGACATATACATCAAAAGTATTTATGAATTAGTAGGGATTTTTCACAGGGCACTTCTACTGATATGTCTCTCGCTGAAGAAATACAAGAAAACAAACATTCCAGGTGAAAAATCTAGGCAGAGCCAGGACTCCAGCATGGTAGCAAAGTTTCCAAGTTTTGCCATGTTTTATGGTATTCCAATTTATACCAAAATCTACCACTTTCTACTTTTTAGATACAATTGCTGAACCCTCGTTCTGCATTTACATACATCGATTAAAGCTCTTTTTCTCAGGTTTACCAGGCTTTAAAGGTCAGAGGGGAGACAGGGGCCTAGCTGGGCCACCTGGAATCAAAGGTCTCAAAGGCTCTCCTGGCTCACAAGGTCCCCCAGGTCCTCCAGGCTCCCGAGGACTTCCAGGACTTCCGGGCAATAAAGGACCACCTGGTTTCCCAGGACAAACGGGTATGTTAAACATCCTGCAAACCACCTCATCTTATAACTTCCCTTGCAGAGGGATCTAGTTCTACTGCTGTTAAAGCTAGGACGTACTTTGCAGCTTCCCCCCTTTCCAGCTTCGAGAATAAGACCCTGCAGCAGGGTAGAGGAAATAACAATAGCATCCTTTGTTCTTTCTAATAAAAACTAAGGGATGGAAATAATTTGATGCATCTTGATGCATCCTGGTGCTTTAGTTGTTTTACAACATTGACATATTTCCATGTATTATTTCCTGAGTATTTGTAATAGGTTGTTGTTATAATATGCTATAATAAGAACGATATACTTTTTATTACATCCAGACTATCTCCTACAGTCTGTGATTGTATGCTGATAAGTAAGCGGAGAAATAGCTTCGCATTATGTCTAATATTTATAAAAAGTACAACCTTCGTCACAAATAATCACTGGCTATTGGGCAAAAGTTCTGAGTAACAACAGCAAGATCCTGTTTTCCTCTGTCTGTCATCTGGACAGTAGGAGTCATGATTTCCAATCGCCACATGCAAAACCTGGTGGCGTCTTAGGCTATGCATCGTATTTCAGATGTGTTGGGGATAGCTGCTTTAGTAGTAAGTGTAGCCTAAATCTTCAGTGGGTGGCTGCAGGGAGGGGAAAGATGTTTCTTTGCTTCAAGGGGATCTGTATTTCAAGACAAGCTTGATCTTGGCGTGAAGCCATGCTCCGACTACTGGTTCTCTAGCTTTGCTCATTTCCTAAGGTGTCCTTCTAAACTTCCTGCCTTTTGCTTTATACTCTTCCTTAGAATATGACAGCAACAGCATAGCAGACTGAATATGTAAATAAAGCATTTAATATTACCAGGAAGCAAAGGGATTCAAGGACCCCAAGGATTCCCAGGACTCCCAGGAACACAAGGCCCAATGGGAATCTCCGGTGTAAAAGGTGAAGAAGGAGAAATGGGTCCACCTGGGCCTAGTGGAGAATGTGGGGATATGGGAATAAAAGGTTTGTAAAAATCTGCCTCACTCTGTAGTTATATTACTGCTATGTTTAGTTTTGTTACAACTGTGTTAGGAATAAATTTACTTTTTCTTCTTGTTATAAAGGTATATTCACTTAGAGATACTAAATACTAAATCCAGCTCTCTTTCTTACGGGTGCATAATGAAAAATAACTAAAGAAAAATTAATTTCACTCAGATCAACAGGTGCATTTACCACTAAATCAGAGTAAGATCACTTATTCAAACAAACTTTGAATTTTGCCCTGTACACATCTGAAACTTTAGATTTTTCAAGTTTTCTATCATTATTGTCTGTGTTCTTCAATCTATGCAACAACATACAGATTTACTGACATTCCATGTATTTGGTTCAAAGGTGAAAGAGGGCCTCCAGGAGACAGTGGCTGCATTAACATCCGTCTTGAGAAAGGACAAAAGGGGGAACCAGGATTTCCTGGTGAGAATGGATTTAGAGGTGAAAGAGGTAAGTTCATAAAGCACACATACACATTCATCTGATATAAATCACTGGTGTTCTTCACAGGTTTGGACACGTAGCTGCAGTGACGTCCAACTAACTTACTGTGTTTATAGATTCCTAAACTAGCTGGCTAATTTCTTTGGACAATTACTAAGGCAATACCCAAAGTGTGATAGCATAGCCGTATTCAAGACAAGCGTCAAATAATGGCTTGACTGTATTAGTCATTATCTTGTTCTGCAATTCACTCCAGGTGAAAAAGGCAGTACTGGTTCCAGAGGCACCCCAGGATTTCCAGGGAAGAATGGTGTCCCAGGACTGCCAGGTGACCATGGTGACACTGGACTGATGGGGTTTCCAGGATCACAGGGTTTCCCAGGACCAAAGGGTTTTAAAGGAATTATGGGTTTTCAAGGACAGCCAGGTGACCAGGTAAGCTGAAAGTGGTAGTGAAATGTCAAAGAGCCTCTCCCCTCTCTCCTAGCTGCATGTTGTGATTTTGTTACATTGCCACTTACGTGGAAGTCCAGGCTACACTGCACCAATGCGGGAGGGGAGCAAAAAATGGATCCCCAATCAAGTCTTTAACATTATTCCTAAGAACAGATTGACAAATCACTGCAGCGATCATAACATAGCAGCAGCACAAGTATGAAATGAATATATAGCTGCTTCTTCATATATCGCTATATGGAGCAGCCAAGCCAATAGACAAGACAAACCAAGTCTTCTGTGCCCATACCCACAACTTGCACCAAACGGAACCCAGGCAATACTGCTCAAGAACAAATATGCAAAGCCGCACATATATCGCATATGGATATAAGGTAAAATTCTTCACTGGCTTGTATGCTAGGTAGACAGGCAGTGAGATTACATGTAGCATAAAAGCACAATTTTTTTGGGTAAAGGGGCATATCTGTGCTTGGCTTGTCTATTATATTTCTTGGAAGAGAATCTGTTTTGCTGATTATATGTCATTATTCAAAAGGAAAAATAGAGAAATCTTTACATTTTTACTGTTACACCACAACATATTTCTAGTTAATGTTTACAGTAAATTTTGGGTAACATACAACAATATTTGGTACATTTTTATGGTACCTTTTAAATCAAATTACTCAAGCCACTTGTGGGGAATTTAAGCTGTTTGAGCCAAGAGTTAGCATAAACTATAAAAGCACAAATTCAAAATTATTAGTAAGTCTAATCTACACTTTCTTGGAAGTGTTAGTGGTCAGTATTAGACATGCAACAAAGACAGCATGCTTGTCTGTTGAGCTTAAGATACCATTTCGCTATTCTTATTGCTGGTCCATTTACCAGTGTACGAGAACCAAATGCTCTTACAGATCATTCCTGCCGCACATATCGTATGTCAAACATTTTTATTTCATTTTTAAAAAAAATCAGGGTGATGCTGGCTTACCAGGAATCCCTGGAAATCCAGGACTGACTGGCCCAAAAGGATCTAAAGGTAATGAGTTTATACAGACGTGCTCTTGAAAAGAGCAATATTACTAGGATGGATATGCTCTGATAGATGGCGAGTATTCACTAGAAAAGGGAAAACAGGACAGAAGTGAAAATAATTGAAACATGATTGTCATTAGAAACAAGTCTGACTTACCTGAAGGCAAAATTTGTCTTGTTCCTTGTAATGTAGGTCTTACTAATTGAGAAGATGAATTTGTGTCAAGTTTTATAGATTTTAAAAATTCCGTCAAATGCATGTAGAAATCCACTCTGATGGATCTGTAAAATTTGTCAAATCAAATAAGAGAAAATGCAATCATTTATGGTATTATGGCATATTATAGAAATATGTAGAATTTTAAAAATATTACAACACTATTTATAATTTCTTTTATATGATTTATTTTCTAGTGCTTTTCTGGATATGATTTTTGAATTCTTGGAACTTCTGAAAGTGTAGTGTAATAAATCCGGCAGTTTTCATAACCTTGCACGCAAAACTGAGTGAAAAGAAAGTTTTGCATGTTGTTTTTTGCATAGGTAAAGATTATTCTGAAAAATTTATCTATAGTATTTAGATTTTAAAAAGCATTTCAAAGAATTACAAAATGGTGTCATCCATCGTATCTCAAATTTCCTTGGAACAGGATTTCATTACTAATAAATACAAAATTAAATTATTGCCTGGAAAAACGCATTAAGGGAACAGGAGAAATTATTTACTCAGTTACATTTTCCATTTCTTAAAAAATTCAAGACCTTCTCAAACCAGGGAATATATTCCCACCAAAAAAAAGTAAAGAACAATACTCAATATAAAGAGAACTTTTATGAAATGTATTGAAAGCAAATTTAATGGAAAAGTTATCCTTAAAACTAAAGCAGGAAACAGCCAGTAAAGGTGGGGAGTGCCATGGCGGAGGATTTCTAGCAACAGTTGAACTTGATATTTCCTCCTAACTCTTCACAGCAAAATCAGACAACAAAGCTAGAGACAGCATGAATAGGTAGGAGAGGTCAGACGTTTATAAAGACATTGTAAGGCAAAATTGCTTGGAATTAATGATTCTGTGATAAACAGGAATTTCAGCACAGATGTAAAGAAGAAAGTGTGCTGGCTTAAAGTCCCCAGCTAGTCCCTAAAAGGTCTGTACTGAGTAAATAGACTCACACTGTATTGATTTTGCACATCCTCACAAACCTATGTAAGGAACTCTCTTTGTTTAATAGTGTTAGGGAATTTAAGTGATATCTTTCATTTTCAGTATATGCTGTCAGTATTGGGAAGTTCCTATAATTTTTGGTTTACACATACTACACATAATTTTTGGTTAACACAAACTGACTTAGTATTTCAAGACAAGATGATCTGGCAGATAATTTGCATGCGCCAAAGCATTTTTCATTCTGTGTTCTCTCAGTCCCTTTTATAGCTGTTAATATCTACGAGTAAATTATCTGATCTTACAAAATTGTCCAGCTTTGGTTTTGTGGATGAAAAGGATATTTGTATGAAATGAAAGTCATTGTACCTCAACAGGCAAGAGAGGTGACCCAACTCCTCTGCTTGGTCTACATGGTCAGAAAGGGCCTCCCGGAGATCCAGGATTACCAGGTACCTCTGATAGAAGAAAAAATTGAATGTAAGAACTTACTTTGTCCAAGTTTTGTTTGCAGAGAGGGAGCTCCACTTCCTGTGCATATTGAGGGGTATTTTCTATAGTTATAAATCCAGAGATCGGAGAGGCATCACAACATGCACTATGGCTAGCATGCACACAGGAGGTAGAGTCTCCTGTTGTCTAGTACAGCACTGACGAACATACCTATACTTTCCCGAATAAAGCCTGGCTTGGCTATACCTTGCTAGCCATTTCTGCTCTTTCAGCTATCACCAGAGAGATCAGTATAATCCTTTGCTTAATAAATAGATGCAAGGATCTGAAGCATTTGCATAAAATCCTTTCTAGTCAAGAAACCCCTTACTGTACTTTTATATTTTTAAACTTATTATGAGATGAAGAATGGGCAACTTTAAACAAATAAATGCTAGATTATTTTTTCTTTTTAAGGACTCTGTGGATTCCCAGGAGAGAAGGGTTCACCAGGTATCCAAGGGCAACCTGGAAGACCAGGATCCAAGGGTGAGCCTGGATACCCAGGAATACCCGGATTTCCAGGTAATGACAAAAGTTTGAAATATAGTGCCACGTAACAGCTCAAAAGAGATATGGAACAGGAAGGTGCAGCTGAGGCAGCACATCTGTGCAGGAGGCTAGAGAAATCAGAGATCACATGAAAGCGTGTATTGAAAGCTATTTCAGTACCTATAGACAGCAGCAATAGTCTGCTCAGAGTCTCAGAGAGCAAGATCCATCAATTCTTCATACATTCCCATACACTTTCAGGTACTTCTAACTCAGTGTGCTGCACAGCATGAAAAAGAAAATTAACAGTTTAACAGATTTGCATATTGACAGATTTTTTTTTCCCCCCCACACACTCAGGAGCTGCAGGCCCTCAGGGATTGCCAGGAGAACCTGGAGAAAAAGGGAAACATGGAATTTTGGGACCTCCAGGATTGCAAGGATTAGCTGGATCCCAGGGCAGAAAAGGTAAACAGTATACAGTGCAGTTCTACTGGTAATGTAACAGCACCAGATATAAAATACCCTTTTAGTAGTGAAAATGGAAGAGGCCTAACTGTAAGCATGATTTTGATTGTGTATTCTCTTAAACTGCTAGAAGAATTAAGCCAGTTCCCATCACCTTTGAAAAGTATCATAAATGCTACCTCAGAAAGTTGGCTACAACCTAAAATGAGTAAGGAAGAAAGTAGAAGCAGATTCTGGCTCAGCTGATGTAACTGATGGCAGAAGTTAAGGAAAGGAAAGGGAGCTTGTAGCAATTCAGATGTTTCACTGTCACTTCAATGATGCTGTGTTCTACCGTTTCACCAGGGAGTGCCACTGTTACTCTACAAAACCAGCAGACTGCTATGGACAGTTTTGTCTTACAAATTGGTTTTAAAATTGTGATAACTCGGGTTGGTTTCTGTTGGGTTTTTTTGTTGTTCTGTTTTCTCCCAAATCTGATTTTTGGTGGATTTAATGCAGAAATGTTTCCCCCAAATCCTAATTTACACATCTCACAAGGATTGTTATGTTTAGATTGAACAACAGTTCATCTATACGGTTGTTTTTGTTGAAGAGCATTGTTAACATTTACTACACTCAGAATAATACATTGAAATTATAAGTTACATTTATAAAGAAAAGTAATCAGCTATGTACTTTGTATCCTCTCTCTGTTACAGTGTGCTTCATAACCAGTTCCTGGACAGGAAGAATAATATTAGTGACCCATATACAGAAATCACAGTAAAGTAACACTCAGGGCTATGATAAATGGTTAGAGGGGACAACAGATTCACTTGTTCAAATTCAGCGTAAGGAAAAATTGAGATTGTTTCTTATAAGCTACTAAAAATTTAAATGAAAAATGAAAACCATTTATGATTGCTTGCAGTAAAGCAAGCGGTGCTGATTTAAACTGTCATGACAGATTCCTTGCTGGTGCATAATCTGCAAGAGAACATTTAATTGTTGCAAACAATATTTGTTGTAACAAAGGCAGAGATCTTCAGCGACAGGGACATCTAAATTGAGAGGGGTGGGGGAAAAAAAAAAAGGCATTCTTCTGCTGAAAACTTCCTAGTAGCAGATGGACTCTTTCCTTCTCACAAGTGCAAGACACTTCTATATTGTACAGAGGTTATCGCAAGCCCTGCACAGGAAACCTAACAAATTAACACACATGCTGCAGAGGGAAAAGTTCAGTTCCAAATGGAAATTCATTAGAGACCAAGTTGCCTGCTAAGCCTGAGGATTCTATATATTGCCAGGATAGCTGAAAAGAAGGTTAACACCTCTGAAATTATACCCAGTAACGAAAACTGAATGGAATTTGTATTCCAATTCAATTGGAGAATACAGAACTTAACACTATTTTCAATAAATATTGTTGCTAGCCTTGGAAGTGAAATGGTTAATTGACTGTTCATAGCTAAGTACACGGCATTCTTAGTTTAACTGCTTCTCATTTACATGAAATGTCTTGTGCCTGAAGAATTTCTAGATTAAAAAAAAATAGTTAAACAGCATCTACCGAAGCATAATCACTTTTTCTTTATTACAGAGATAGTTTTACTAGTTAAGGGCTCAGTCTGGCAAGTCTTACTTGTATGAGTAATCCTTGATGAAGCAAGTAATATTAAGAACATCAGCAGGATTACTTGTGAGTAGAAGCTGAATTGGGCTGTAAAATACAGAAACTGGTTCATACATAGGTCAGCCAATTCAGCTGTACCTAGAAATATGGGACTATAGCAACCCAAAAATCTAGAATTAGAAGTGCTGATATTATAATGGATTGTTGGCAAATATGTCAGAAATTCCCTGGAAAGCAAGTAAATCAAGCCAATCTTGACTGAATGAGCTAAAGATCAAAAATTTTTAAATGGTGACCTGGGTGCCAAAAATTGTTGGGAGTTCATAATCATTTTAAAATACCACTGTTAAATTCCCCAAATTGGCATGCAACTCTTACATAAATTTGAAAATGGGACCATCCCCAAAGCACAAGCAGGCTACGGAAAGCAGGACTGAAACTTAGAATGTCATTAAAAGTTAAAGAGC